CCCCCCCCCCCCCCCCCCCCCCACCCCCCTCTACGGGCTCACAACACAGATGGTTTCGGGTAGCCACGGCGACTGCCCAGCTTTATTTATATCAGTTCAAAGCCCTTCTGTGCTTTTTCTTCTTCTAACACGTGGAAGTTTTGTCACAGATGGACGGCCCAATTGATAGTTAAAACTACAAAGTTGGTGATTTAAAGTATCTTTATTTGAGAGCTTCCTCTTATAATTGTGAGTCGACATAAGTAGGAATAATTTAAATGGATGGAAATAGTTAAAGTTACCTCTTTCCTAACCAAACAGCTATAATTTCCAATGTATATTTGACATGTGTTTTTATGTGTTGTGAGACGCATAAGATAAGCGATGCGTTAGTCATGTTTTCAGTACTTCTCTTTCTTTCGTTTCTGCATTGCTGCCTAAGGGCAAAAAGTCCGGCATTGATATCAATTTTCACAGAGGTTCTCTGGGCTTGTCGTCAAAGGAACGAGCCTCCTCCCTGCTGCCCGTGGCAGAGCCGAGCAAACCTTTTGACTGCAGAGAAACAACCAAAGCGCAACGAAACCCTGTGCTCCGATGGGGCCGCGTCTCACTGTCGGGGTTGTCACCGGCTCTCAGATGAAGTTGACCCATACGCACCCCTTGGGACTTGTGGGGTAAAAAGGGCTGCCTCTCATCCAATTAACTCATCTCTTTCATACGTATAAATGTGTGTACGCACTCGCGCACACACACACACACACTAGGGCCGGGGTGTGTGCGGTGAACAATAACAGAGACGGTGAGAGATAGCAGAGGAAGAGGAGCAGCAGATCCATCTACATTCCCTGCGCCTCATTCTTTTGAAATGCTGATGACTCCTCCTCCCTCACCCTCATCGCTCAGCTCTCCCCTCTTTTTTAATGTGGCGGAGTCATCCATTCCATTAACCGTCCTCCTGCTCCCCTCCCCAGGTTAGAATGAGTGAGATCCCCCCCCCCCCCCCCAGGGTAACAGGGGCCACAGTGGTGACGATGGCAGGGGCATTTGTCATGCTCTGAGCCGCGGCAGTCTGTTGCTCTCCCGTGGGCCTTTGTTATCCCCAGCTCCCAACTTGCTGGCTAAGCAGGGGATTTAACATGTTTCATTAACATCTGAACCAGCTCGGCACTTTTGTACAATTCGCATTGAGCAGGCGGGGGGGGGGGGCGCACTGAAAAACATGAAAAAGCAGGATGCAACAAGCACATGTGCCCAGGAGAGAGCGGTCCGTTTTATGAAAAAGCTAGAAAGATTAGAGTTGGATCACACACACACACGCGCGCACACGCAACCGTTTCCATGAGTGTTGACTGCACATTCGGCCTGCAGTTGTCCAACCTCTGCGCGGTTCATGGCACACATTCTGTCTTTGTACTAAGCACAAACAATTGGCCTGCCCTGCCCGGCGCTGGTGTTAGGGGCACCACTCAAGTGGAGGTCACAGCCGAGGTGTTATAATGCTTTAGGCTGGGCACTACAAGACTGAGTGCAATCCACTTAAAGCGAACCACTAACCCCCCCACACACACCTCCTCTCGTATCCCCTCCAGGCCACCCCGAGCATCACACTTCTGAATAGAAAACGGGAAATCGGCCTTCTGCAGCACTTCAAAAACCGGAGAGAGAGAGAGGAAAATACTGTGGAGAGGCGGGGGGGCATGATAGTGCTTTTTTTTTTTTTAACACGTTGCCTCAACACCCAGACAGCAGTGCCTAAGATCTCTGTTAGAGGGAGATGGAACCAATTCTAATCGGCTAACATAGGCAAAATCAAAGCTTGAAAAGCTTGTGTTTTGATGAGAAGACAGCTTTTTTTTAAACTTGTTTTCTCCGCTCCCTCAACTTCGTGAACTCTGAGTTAAGGCCACGAGGGCAAGGCTGCGGTCGAGCACCTGGATGCAGCAAACGGAGAAATGAACGGTGTCATACATAGACAAATAGTGTAAGCTTGAGTTTTAATTGCATCAGTGAGTTCTCTTCACTTCCGCCCCCTGCTCGTCCCTCTCTCCCTCTGAGCTTCCCAGGAGCAGATCATCCTCCTCACACTGTACTCCATGCCCGCCTTGCTCTTTAGGTTATTATTTGTGTCTGTGTCATGCCAAACATTTGGCAGGCAGTGCCGGTTTTCTATGTGAACAGTCTTAAGTTTTGTGCATTGCTCCTTGATTTGTTTTCAGTCTCTTCTACCTCCAGGTTGCTCTGTGTTTCACTCTCTGTCCCTCTTAATAGAATTAGTGGTGTGTCCATCCGTATGTATTAAACATCTCCCTGTTTCTTACAGCTAATGGGGGCCATTCCATGTCCGGGATGACTGATATTGAGATATCCTTCCTCCAGGGTATCATCCTTAGCAATCTTCCCTTGATTTGCTGAATGATGGACTGTGCAAAGGAAAATAGACCTAATGATCATTGTGGAGATGGGCCCTCTAACTCAAGGCTGTAGAGTGTGGGCGATTACCAGCTATACAATAAGCTATGTCTCCTCCCCCCTCCCTCCCTCCTCTCTCGCTTTCTCTCCCTCTGCGGAGGTATTTCCAGAATGCCGCCGGCCATGATGGATTTATGAGTAGGCCATACTTTGGTAAACACCGATGGTGGGCAGCTTTGTCCTCCCCCCTATGATATAGTGAAGGTCCCATAAAAAATGGGAAAACCAGGTTACAGCCACCATAGAGTTGGGCTAAACAATAAAAGGCTTTATGGGCAGATATAGGCCTGTACCATAAATGCTGGAATCTGCTGTCAGAGGGACATTAAAGGGATAATGACAGGGGGGGGAGGGGGTTAGCTTTCACAAAATCCCTGCAGCCACTAAGAGGGTCTTTTTTATTTTTTAGAAAACACACACTGAGGATAGCAAAGCACCGAGGTAGAGCTCTTCAGAGCAGTTTAACTTTGGGTCAGGCTTTGTGTGTGTGTGTGTGTGTGTGCGTGTGTGCGTGTGTGCGTGCGTGCGTGCGTGCGTGCGCGCGTGCGCGCGTGTTTGCGTGCGCGCGCGCGCGTGTTTGCGTGCGTGCGTGCGCGCGCGTGCGTGCGCGCGTGTTTGTGCACGCGTGTTTGCGTGCGTGCGCGCGCGTGTGTGTGTTTGTGCGCGTGTGTGTGTGTGTTTGTGCGCGTGTGTGTGTGTGCGCGCGTGTGTGTGTGTGTGCGCGCGCGCGTGTGTGTGTGTGTGCGCGCGCGCGTGTGTGTGTGTGTGTGCGCGCGCGCGTGTGTGTGTGTGTGCGCATGTGTGTGTGTGCGCATGTGTGTGTGTGTGTGTGTGTGTGTGTGTGTGTGTGTGTGTGTCCAGTAGATTGACAGAAAGGAGATGGAAGCGGCGCCGCGCTTGTTGATAACTGCAGCATGTTCTCACATCGAAGGGTCGGGGCCCTCATTACACATTGGCTCGCCGTCGGGAGCACAGCTGTTGGGTTTTGGCTGGTGCTGCCTGTCCGGGCTGCACAAAACCAGCTGTGCAAACAAACGCAGACAGACAGACAGACAGACAGACAGACAGACACCGTAATGGCAGCAGGGGGAACGGAGCGGTAGTTTCAGGTAGACTTAAAAGCAAACATGCACCACGGCACGCACTCAGAAGTAAACACACGCTGACATGCGCCCAGGGGGGAGACGTGCGTGAGGCATGAGGAAGTTGGGACCATGGCAGTGGTATGAGTCGTGTGGGTGGAGGGGGATTATTATGGTGCAGATAATCACAATCGTGGGATATTACCGCGACTCTCCTTGGGGGGGGAGCACATTTTACAGCTTCCTAACACCCCAGATTGAGCTAAGAAAGAAGGAGAGTGGGGGCAGTAAAAATAGTTTGACACCCTCGAGGTCCAGCCGGCAATCTCCTCTCCGCCCTTGCCCATAAAACCCTTTGAATTCCCTCCTCAAATCCCCCCCCCCCCCCATCTCCGCTGGACTCTCGGTTCCAGCTTTGCACCGAGTCAAGTTGCTGTGTTTACCGCTCGTGGTATCCCTCTATCATTTGTACTTCTATTTCCGCAAAAGCCTTTGAATGGTGCTCTAATCAGGACCCGACATCGGTTGGCCTGGACTTGACGCAACAACACTTAGAAGCCTGAGCCACACAAACAAGACTGGCCTCTCACTCGAGACGCAATCTCCTTCTCTCTGGCTTCGCTTCCCGGCCAAAGTACTTCTCCGTGTTCTCAGCAGCGTGGCGGCGTATCGATGCCGGATCGAGATCAGCCTGCTGGACTGGTGCGTTAACGTGGGGCCGAACCAGACACAGTCGTGAAGATGCAATAGAGACTAGTGACCACTCTCACTTCCCCTACATTCACGGCACCAATTGTCAAGCGTGTAAGAGCACTTGCGCTCATATTATGTGTGTGTTTGTGTGTGTGTGTGTGCTTGTTTGGACACCACCTGTCATTAAACCAGCACTTTATTCTTCTGTTGATATGATGTAATACATCCAGTTCCCCTGCTGTCTACCCCAAGGAGCACTGTGTTCCCTCCTGTCACAACATAAATACCACATTTATTTAATTCTGCCTTTTTTAAGGATGAAAAAGTCCCTTTTTTCATTTAATGACAAATTAAGAAAGCTGTGGGAAAAGGACTTTTTTCAGGTCTGATCTTGTATTCTTCCCTCCCCCATCTGTAATAAGCAATGATCAACAAGCTGTTATCTCTTCGCTTGTTCTCCGCTATCACAGTGTATTGCCCGGGGATGAATGCTCTCCCCTCGGAGAAGAAAACAGAGCCTGGAGAAATTAGCATTTTCTGACAGCCATTGCTCATAGAGCTAATCCTGTCAAGGAATGTGTGGCTACGCTATCAGTGCAGGCGAGGGGTCGCCGTGGCCCATGCCTGCACACCAGGCTCTTATCAGGCAGGGTAAACACACCAGGGTCTGCATTAAATAAGTGTCACAGTCAGTGGGGGCGGAGCGGGCCGAGCCCCCCTGCCAGGCTCCATGCAGATAATCCCTCTCAGAAACCCTGTTGGTCAGACCCAGCTGTGGCCTGTGGCTCAGGTGTAGGGAAAGTGGGGGAGGAGAGGTATTGTTCAGGCAGCGGTGTAGGTTACAACACAAGCCACACCAATTCCACATCAATGCAGATACATTTGAAAAAGGCTCTTTGTGTAGCAGATATTTTCTGTCCAAACACGCATTTTTCAGGTCAATTCACAAACGTTAAGATACCAAAACCAGTAGAAAAATGCTTAAGATTGCACGTCCGTGAAACGATGGGGCGGGACAGGTGAATCCGCCGACATAGACAAGTTGTCAGAATCTGCGTCCACAGAAAGCGTCCTTCCGGGACGTCCCAATCATTTATCAAACATGCCTGATATTTTTATACGTGGTCTTTCTTTTATTTTTATTTGCACTGAGCCAAATATTCTCTCTTGCCAGTGTGAAGGTGAAATAACAGTCATATCATGTGAGATGTCCTCACATTTAGCTCTAGTGGGTGCTTGGCCCTAATCTCCACCATCGAACACGCACAGGCAACTTGAGCCGACGGCTGAACTCCAGATCACATGACAATCACAGGTCGGTGCTTTTGAAAAGCTCAGTTTACCTGTCAACACCACGACATGAGACCGGCGATGTGTTTGTGAAAGGTCTGGATGTTTATTTTTTTTTTTTGTGGCAGCATAATTGCCGCTATATTCTTTCAGGATTGCTATCTGACTCCGAAGAGGAAATATTCATGCCTCTAGAGTTCTGCTATGAAAGCTTTGGTATGGACCCAACAAGCCTGGCGGACGACAGGGCCGCATAACAAGTTGCAACAATGTTGCAGAGTATAGGTGGAGTAACATTTCACTAGGGAGGTGATGCAAAACCAGCTTCCTGGACTTTAATCCACTGAGAAAAAGTTAAGTGTCAGCTACCGTGACTGGGTGCCACTTTTGTTACTTTGTTTGTGCCGGGGGGGGGACAGAGGCGCCTCTCCGGGCAGCACTCGAGGAAGAGTGCGGTGGTGTCACTAAGCGTACAAGGTGGGAAACCTTGAATAATGTGGGATGAGAGTGAGCCAGAAAGGCGAATCCGAGTCAGCCAGTGGGTCACCAGGAGGTGAGGCTGCCTACTTCCCCTGGGTTCAGGAAAAGTTCAGCCGCATAGTATTAGGCAAATTAGGGAGACAGGGCTGGGGGAGAAAAAAAAAAAAAATGTGAGGGTAGGGACTGATGAGAGCATGGGGGAGAGGGTCAAATTAGTTGGAAGGAGGAGCCCGAATAAAGAGTGAGAGCATAGAGGGGAACTTCCAGGAAAGAAAGAAAAAAGAGCCTGGCGGATACAGTCTGGTGGTAAAGATATGACAGACTCATTACTGAGCTTATATAAATTAATCATGGCCTCAAATACATTCTCATTTAAAGCCCCAGCACCTACAATTGGAGGGACGGCGGTGGACTCCTCTGGCGCACAGTCCCATGCCGGGCCCGGGTAGAGAGAGAGAGAGAGAGAGAGAGAGGAGGGGGGGAGATCTATGGTGACGTTCCTGAAGGGGTTAAACGTAGGAGGAGCAACGCATGAAAAGGGACTGAGGGGAGGAAGGGGGAGGGAAAAAAAGAGAAAAGAAGCCTGGTGGAGGTGGAGCCAAAGCTGCTCAGCTGCTGTGCCTTGTCACATTTTTTTGCAGAACATGATCGCCGCACGATCCGGTGTGGGAATGATTTAGGCGCCTCTCTCCGAATGCAAACAAGGCGGTGCTGCTGCGCGTTTCAATGGGACCCCGGATACCGGAGAGCGGGGTCTGACCGAAGGGGGTGGGGGGGGGGGAAGCCGTCGGGTTGTTGTTGTAGCGCACGGAGGGAGACCGGTTCGTTTACGGGGCTGACAGGAGTCCACACCACGGCGGGCGCAAACGGGACGACCGAGCGCAAACCCGAAAGGACCACAACTGCAACCGGACGGAATTTCCTCTCTGTGATATTTGCGCTTCCGTCCCGCTGGTGATTCCCCGTGTTGCCTGCACGGACTTGGGGGATCTGTGTTCTCCTCTTCTCTGGGATTGTGACTCTCTTCTCTCTCTCCATGGTGTGGATACAGCCTCCAATGTTGCTCTCTATCTGAGCAAGGCCGAGAGGACCGATATATATTCTGCTGAAGTTCTTCGGGTCGTCCGTCGCTATATTATTGAGTGCATCTTCCCGACCGCGTTTATTATTATTATTTTTTAATCGGACACCATGCAGACTGTTTTAAATGATGTTTTCATACTGAGCGCAGCCGACTAGGCTCTTTCAGACACTGATCCACTCCACGCTTTGGGTTTTTGCGCCGTAAAGAAAGATGCCAAATGTTCAAATGTTCCCGCTGTGCTTGGATTTACCACCTTTCCTTCTATTTTAATGCAGTTTCCCCCCCACTCCCTCCTCAGTTTCTACCTCTGCTGGTGGCGAGCTTCAAAATCCACAAGGCTCGTGTTTTTTTTTTTTTGTTTTGCTGCGTGCGCTGACAAATAGTTAGTTTTTTGTTTTGTTTTTGACAATAACCCCCTGCTGTCGTCCCGCTCCGTATGATGTATGAGAGCGTGGACGTGGTGGGACTGAATCCCAGCCCGAACCCGTTTCTAATGATGGATTACTACAACCAGAGCAGAGGATGCTTGATCCCGGAGAAAGGACTGGTGCCCGGAGCGCCACATCCCTACAGCACGTCCATCAGGAACCAGCACTGGAACGGCTCCAATCACTGTAGGTGCCTTTTTCCTGCCCGCTCAACTCCATTTCACCCAAGTCTGTGTGTGTGTGTGTGTGTGTGTGTGTGTGTGTGTGTGTGTGTGTGGGTGTGGGGGGGGGGGGGGAAGTTAAAGCCTCTCTGGCCATGTGTTTATAGCATGGAGAAATTGCGTGTTTTCCATTTTAGTTATTTAAAAAAAAAAAAAAAAAAATGAAATATCACATGAGTGTGATATTTATTACAAGGCATGTAGTCTCTCGTTACCCGCCTGTTGTATCTCAATTATTCAACCCCGGTAATATGTGGCAAACAGCGTTGCATGTTCACACCACTGCCGAGCTTCATAACTGCATTATATATACTTGACCCACTTTCGTCTCTCTCTCTCTCTCTCTCTCTCTCTCTCTCTCTCTCTCTCTCTCTCCTTTCTGCCTCTGTGTGCACCCTGACTGATTTCTTCTTCTTTTTTTCGGAGAGACGTCTGAGACTGCGGCGCTCTGATCCAGACCACTTTCTCCAAAGCTGTTGCGTTCCCCCAAAATATGCACTTAATACAAGCAAGGTTTTACAAACCATGCCAACGTTAATCGGATCAAACGTCCCTCCCCAGCGTTATCCCCTCGGTTCCTCTGGTTAATCTGGATAGCTGCACCTGCAGGCCAGAGTCCCTGAGCAGCGCGGCCTTACCTGGACACACTGCTGTCTATATTTAATGTGTCAATCAGGCCTCGTGCTAATTACATGTATTTTAAACCTGTGCTTTATATTTAGTAGGCGGGGGAAATAATTACAACACGCTGTTGAATATTGCCGTTTGTTTAAACACATATGTATTTTAATATCTTAACAGAACAAACACACATCAGAGTGTTAGAATAAATATTTTAAATTCTAATAAATACAACCAGACATTATTTTTATTCGGCTTATGTGCCAGACAGGCTTTTCTGCCATGTCTAAAAATAGCATGTCAATGACTATGCTTTTTAAAATCTGTGTGTGTGTGTGGTGAGTTTTTTTTGGGGTTGAGTAAGAACCCCGAGTCATGGCAGATCTCCGTTTATTGATACGGTATCTGCTGCAATAAGAGAGAGTTTTATTGCAACAACAAAGTATCACAGGGGCCGTTCCCATTCTTTACCTCAAAGGACGCTGCGCTGCACAAAGCTCCAGCAGGCCTTTATGGAACAGATAGCTCTGTTGTCTTTCACAGCTGAAAGAGTGTAAAAAGGCAGGAATCTCCACAGGCTCTTAAGGGCCAATTTCCTCCTCGTCTCCCAGACTATAGAAGCACACGACAAAGGGACATTTCTGATGTTTGGCAGCAGCGGCAACAAAACTGCTCCAAATAACCGGGTTCTGTTTGCGCCGCAGTCTCACTTTTTTTTGCTGCTTGTTTTTCCAAGTCACATGAGATTAGACATTCCTCTCGACTAAAAGGACAAGTTGCAGAGCAGATACCCAGCAAGCTTCACAGTATTTATCGAGCTGACCCACTAAAGAGCTCTAGTAGCAGCATTGATTCAAACCATGTGAGGGAGACTGTGGGGGTTTGGCCCAGGAAAAGACCTCTGATCCCGTTCTCGACTCCACATTGTGTTGCTCAACAGAGGAGTTGCAGTGTGTGTGTGTGTGTGTGTGTGTGGGGGGGGGGCCTTACTGCTTGAACATAATAAAAAAATGTAGTGCACAAACGGGGAGCGTTGGTGTTGGTGGGGTTTAGACCAGAGGCTCAACATCCGTTAGTGTCGTCACGTGGCTCAGAGGCTTATTGGATCATAGGGATAGAAAACAAAACCGAGCAAGAATTCTCTTTCTTTCACTTCCCGCTCTCAAGCAGGAATCCAAAGCAGTCAGGCTCAAAAGCACGAGACGATCCCAAAAAACATCCGCTGGCTTCGTCTCTTTCTGGACTCTCTGTAAAATGCCAAACTTCACAGAGCGTAGTCTCATGGTATGTTATCCTCTGCACGTGGGTTGGGAAACAGACTGCTGGTGGAGTTTAACATTTTCTCTCACCCCCTCAGTGCTTTTCCTTTTTTGTCCTCTGTTTTTTTTCTTTTTTTTCCTCTTCACATTGGGTCTAACTATTCATTACATGCTCTACAGACGAGCTCAGCGTACACTAAATGGCATCTTCGCTGAAGTAAACCGTCCTCCTGGACCCATTAAGTGGCCCGGGCACGAATCCAGATCATATGGACGCTTCATCCCCAGTGTTATTAGTTCTTTAAAGATGCTGCCACTTTAGTGGTTTCACTGTTTCTGTCCAGCGGCTGTTGGCGCAGGTTTGTCCAGTCACGACAGTGTCGGAGAGCTTATAACCTGGTTATTCAGAGCTACGATGCTGAAGCTTTACGGCTCTGTTCTCGCAGATTAAATGCACTTGATTTTTTCCAACGAGGGCCTGTCACAATCCTTACAGCAATTATGGGACTCATGCATGAAAGAATGTGCATGGCCTTGTTCACATGACTGTCACACACTAAAATAAATAAGGGGGTATGAAGGCAAGAGGGATTGCATGGTGGACTCAAATGCTCACCAGCCCAGAGGCTTCTTGCTTCTTTTTTTTTTCCTCTCTCAGGCTGTCCACAGTACCAAAGAAAGCGGTCACCAGGGATTTCCATAGAGTAGACGAGGCAGACAGAAGGCCAAGCTTCAGCTAGTTTGTCTTCTGAAGGCCTACCAAGTGGGCTGTTGGACGTGTGTGTGTGTGTGTGTGTGTGTCCGTGAGGGCAAGTGACTGGCAGCTTAATCTGACTCATGTGGTATTTAAGTGCGGAAGACCTTTCGCCTAGCAGGAGACGAGGCCCAAGAAAAACAGATGGTATTTTATTGTTTTTCACTGCAATGGACTGAAAGAGCGGGAGCAATTTTGGGGCAATGATGAAGGGGAGGAAAGGTTGGATTTTTGGAGAGAGGGGGGGGGGGGGGGAAGCTAGAAAGTTTGAGCTTTGCTGGTGAGGCGGGAACCCATATGGTTTCGCTTTTTGGCTTTTCTGAGCGGCTGCAGCATTAAGACGGCGCGGCAGGAGCGTCGCTAATTGTTTGTGCTGCTCGGCAGCAAAGTGGAAAATCTGCAGGTGATGTGTTTGGACTTTGTGCAGGCCAGCAGATTGGTGTTGGCCTTGCGAAAGACCTGCGGATATCAATCACCCCCTCCCCCACCGACCTTTATTTATACACGCAGATTTTATTTGGCAAGCGTTTGCTGAGGATTGACAAAAGCATGAACAACAGAGCATAAACAGAGAGAGGCTCGTCCTGTCCCCAAACTAGAATTGGCCGGAGTACTGGCAGTTTATGACATTGAAGGGAGGTTGCCGTCATAAACAGCTGCAGAAAAGATAATCTCTGAAGGTAGAACATAGAGTATCACATTTATTTTCTTGGTCAATCCACTCAGGAGTTATTGGCAAAGCTGCTTACAACATCCAGGCCTTAATGTTCCATAACTGCAGTGTTTGTCCTTATTGTCAATGCCAAGACCCTGAGCCGTATGCTATTATCCGTATTGCCTTTAATGTCCATGGACCTCGGTTGCTTTCATGGACATGCTGATGAGAGAAGGGACCTTTCCTCTGCGGGGCTTTGTAGATCCCGACTTGATGGAACTGGCAGGATGGATGGGACAGCATTGAGGCGAGGTACCTTGCTCTTCCAGAGAGGGGAAGTGTCAGGTGGTCTCCTTTTTATTGCGCCACGTCTGCCTAACCCCCTTTCAGCGAATGGTGACAGTGATTTAGTAGCCCGAACGCATAGAACGTCACAGAGAGGGTGTGTGTGTGTGTGTGTGTGTGAGAGAGAGAGAGAGAGAGAGAGAGAGAGAGAGAGAGAGAGAGAGAG